TACTTTCTACTTCAACTATACCTGTACATATCAGCTTTTCTGAGTCCTCTAAGTAGGTAAAAAGGTAGATTTCTAGTAGGGGATATAAGCATCCATGGGCCTGCAAGTCGACCCTTGAGACCATAAACCCGCAACCCCCCCTGCCTCAAAACCCTCAAAACCCTCAAAAAAAAATGAAACCGTGAGGGTTTAGGGTTTAGGGTTTAGGGTTTAGGGTTTGGGGTTTAGGGTTTAGGGTTTAGGGTTTAGGGTTTAGGGTTTAGGGTTTAGGGTTTAAGGAGCTAGGGGAGAATGGGCTCCAGAGCCAAACAACTCGGGAGACGATCTCAAATTTTCTATCCAGGATCACTAGACCCGAGGTACCCTGAGCCCTAAACCCTAAAAAGGCTTTAGGGTTTTAGGTTGTGCCCCTAAGTAAGCCGTTTGGGGTTTGGGGGTTTTCCGTTTCTTGGATTTCAGGGCCTTGGAGTTTCAGGGTTCAGGATTTTCGGGGCTTCGGGGTGTTTAACTCGTGTGCCCCTGAGAGGGTTCCCTGATTTACGGTCATACGGCCTCCTTCTTCTCCACCTTCTCCGCTGCTGTCTGCTTTGGTTCCTTGTGCCGTTTGTGGCCGAGGCTTTCGGGGTTAGTTCGGTTTCGGGTCTTTGGGGTTAAGAGTTTAGGGTTTAGGGCTTAATTTGCTTCGGGTCTTGTTTTTTAGAGTTTAGGGTTTAATTGCGGGTTTAGAACCTAGGGTTTAGGGGTTTGGGGGTTAGGGTCAAGGCTTAACCCTGCTCTTCAAACCTCTGACCCTCTTGCAGCACTGTGCATGGCTTGTGCTATAGGGTTCTTAAGGGACGGGGGTTCAAGGGTGGGTAGGTACCTAGGGAAACTTAGGGAAGCTTAGGGAACCTGGGGGACAAGTGGGGAGTACTTGGGGTGCCACGCCCCTTGAAACCCTCCCTTAAGAGCCCTACAATTGTGAGCGTTTGGCGTCAGGATTCAGATGCTGGCAAGAAACCCTGAGGCTTGTCCGAAACGTCTCGCTAAGTTCAATCCCCTTGAACCCAGTGAGGGGAAAATTTGTTAATATGGAAGGACCAAACGCCCTCCCTGAGCCCTATACAGCCAAACACCGCATCACGAAAGGGTTTAGGTTTGGGGGTTTAGGGCGTAGGGTTTAGGGGATAGGGTTTAGGGTTTAGGGTTTGGGGTTTGGGGTTTAGGGTTTAGGGTTTAGGGTTTGGATTCAGGGTTCAGGTCTTAGGGTTTAGGGTTTAGGGTTTAGGGTTTAGGGTTTAGGGTTTGGGGTTTAGGGTTAGATCTCACACCTCTTCCGCGGCGGCCGTCGGAAGCGGCGATAGGAAGATGCCCGGCGCCTGCCGGGTGTCGCTCTTGTGGGGTTTAGGGTGTAGGTTTAGGGCTTAGGGTTTAGGGTTTAGGGTTTAGGGTTTAGGGTCTCTTTAGGGCTTAAGGGTTAAGGGTTTAGGGTTTAGGGTTTCGTTTAGGGTTTCGGGTCTAGGGTTTAGGGTTTAGGGAAAAGGTTTAGGGCTCCGCTCGGCTGCGGTTTCAGGGCGGTTCCGCAGCAACTCAGAATTACCCCAAACTCCCCAATCCCTCTAATTGAACCCTAAACCCTTAACCCTGTCAACCCTAAACCCCGTCAACCCTAAACCCCATTAAACCCTAAACCCTGTAAACCCTAACCCTCTTGTGAACCCGAGAAGTCTACGTAACAATCCAGTAGGAGATAAGCTGCAACTCGTGTATCCTATACTGCGGGCTCCAGGCTTAGAATTTTAGGGCGGTTTAGGGTTTTCGGTTTTTCTGGTCTAGTTAGAGGGTTTAGGGGTGAGGGCTTCGAGTTTCGAGTTTTTGGGTGGTTTACGGTTTAGGTTAACCTTCAACCCTAAACTCGAAACCCTAAACCCTAGGTTGATCGGGCTAATCGTTGGGTTTAGGGCATCTGGCACAGGGCTCTCAGAGGTTTAGATCGGCATTTAGGGTTTAGGGTTTAGGGTTTAGGGTTTAGGGTTTAGGGTTTGGGGTTTGGGGTTTGGGGTTTGGGGTTTGGGGTTTCGGGTTTGGGGTTTGGGGTTTGGGATTTGGGGTTTGGGGTTTGGGGTTTGGGGTTTGGGGTTTGGGGTTTGGGGTTTGGGGTTTGGGGTTTGGGGTTTGGGGTTTGGGGTTTGGGGTTTGGGGTTCCTGGAATGAGACCATCGAAAGCCCACTGCTGCACCGTTTTAAGCAGAAGGTTGGTTCGGGAACCCTGCGCAACCACGTTTCTCGTCTGCAAGTAGGCCCTCATACCAAAAAACGCCAAAACATTTCCGACGCCCTAAACCCTAAACCCTAAACCCTAAACCCTAAACCCTAAACCCTAAACCCTAAACCCTAAACCCTAAACCCAAGACTCATCCGCTTTGAGGTTGTCGACCTGCAGGCGGTCCAGCTGCTCCATTTCCTCTTCGAATCGATCTCCACAGCTCTCGACTTTTAAAATTGAGTGTCCCTTCTTCTCCACCACATCGTAGAACCCTAAACCCTAAACCCTAAACCCTAAATCCGACGGGGACTTCCGCCACTTGAGGGTGCCCCTCCTCAGCCTGGCCAGAGCTTCCTTCTGCCCGTACTTGTCCTTCATCTGCTTCCAGGTCTCCCTCAATCCTGAACCGCGGCCCAAGCCGAAAAAACAAAACCCTAACCCGAAACCCGAAACCCAAAACCCGAAGCCCTAAGCCCTAAACCCTAAACCCTAAACCCTAAACCCTAAACCCTGGAAGCCTCATAAAAAGACACCTTCTGGACGGGGTCCTGAGGCACCTTCCCAGGCCGACGGGGCTTGAGTTGTTCATCTCTGGGTTGCTGTTAGGGAACTTGAAGGGGTGTAGGGCGGTGGGGTTTAGGGTTTAGGGTTTAGGGTTTAGGGTTTAGGGCTTAGGGCTTAGGGCTTAGGGCTTAGGGCTTAGGGCTTAGGGCTTAGGGTGTTTGGCTTGGGGTTTAGGCTCTAGGGTTTGGGGCTTAGGACCTTGGGCACATTGCAAGGTTTGTTCAACGTCGATTAGGGATGTTACAAATAACAGTTGCCGCAAACTATTCGCTTAAACCGCAGTTAGTACGTACCGTTCTCGCAATAACTCTGCACACATACGGTGATTATGGTTGTTCCTTAACAGAACCCCAATTTGGGGTGTGCAGTTTGGAGCTTTCTAGGGTTCAGGGTTGAGGGCATGAGCCTTGGCTAGCCTTGGGTTTGGATTTTGGGGTTTTTGGGTACCAGGGTGTAGTGTTTTGGGGCGCGGCTTCGGCTAGCTAGAGCTTGGATTTTAGGGTTTGTAGGGTGTAGTGTTCTGGGAGTTTTTGGGCTTACATTTTAAGGCTGAAGGTTTGGTTTCTTCCTTTGATGTAGGGTTGGGCTTGAACAAAGGTGTAGGGTGAGGGTGCACCCAGAATGTTTTGGTTTGGCATTTAAGGTTGAATACAGGTTTGGGATTGTGACTAGCCTCCATGTGCTAAGCCGGCCGCGAGCATGATTCCTAGGGCCTATAGCTCCCCCGATAACGAACATGCTCTCAACGGGCAAAGCTGATGGTGCACCTTTCATGGGACCCTACACTAACCCTATCTTATCACCCAAAAAAGCCTTAAATTAAGAGCGGATAGTTCCTACAGGATCTTATGAGCCGTAGGAGTGCAAAAACACCGAGAGAGAGAGAGAGAGAGAGAGAGAGAGAGAGAGAGAGAGAACGATAAAGAACAAAAAGAGAGACGCGCCCACAAGCAAACTCCCCAAAGATGGCCACCCTAAAACCCTCACCCTTGCTTCCCTTGCCCCGAATTCCTAAACCCTACACCTCAAGCCCTAAACCCCAAACCCTTAAACCCTAAACCCTAAGCCTCAAACCCCAAACCCTAAACCCTAAGCCTCAAACCCTGAACCCTAAACCCTCGCCTCCGGCTGGGCGTTGTCGGCGCAGGCAGTGCCAAGTTCTGCGTCCGCCTCGCTGGTTTAGGGTGTTAGGGTTAAGGTTTACGGAAAAAAGCTCAAAGGCTCCTGGGGAGACTTACAAGGCTTGCAGCGTTTACAGAGTTTGTCGGATAGATATACATATATATATATATGTGCGCATATAAGCATATAGCGTATAGGCTTTAATTCCGTTTTGGAGGCGAGGACCTTTGGGGAGTGGATGAGGCTTTGGGCTTGAGGTCTGGGAGCCTCAAGCTGCCTCAAGCCTCAAGCTGCGGAAAGCCGTAGTCCATACGTCCCAACCCTAAACCCTAAACCCTAAATCCCAAACCCTAAACCCTAAACCCTAAACCCTAAACCCGAAACCCTAAACCCTGAGCCTGCAACAACGACCGCCCAACCACAAAAATGACATCCTAAGCGCCATGGAGCCGAAAAAAGGAAACCCCTAAAACTAGCCCCTCTGCTGCCACCTCTCTGGCTCCGTCAGCACTTTGGTGGGCCTGCCGCCATGCATTATAACTGCTAAGGGTTTCGGGTGTTTAAGGCAGAAGGCTGAGGGCTTACAAGGGCTCAGGGTTTAGAGTTTAGGGCCATAGCTCAGGGTGGCTTTCCTGCTTTTTGACGTGGACCCAAAAACACAGTCTGAATTAGGGTCTGACATTAAGTTTAGGGCGTCACGCACAATGCTCACAACTGTAGAACACGAAGCTCGCGCAGCACTGGCGATCGGGCCATGGGCAGGCCTAAAATGAAACACTCCAACACTTCTGCACAACCGAGCCTGAACTTTGCACAGTCCAAACCCGAAAGTGATATGGGCCATACATCTACTTTCACAAGAACAACATTTTTAGCTGTATTCATATGCCTAGTCTAAACGAAGTGTATCACACAATACAACAGCGATCACAATTTCACACTCTTGACACCAAAACAACACGCGCTTGCTTGCTACATTCTTTCGCCGCGTTTTAAGCATTTTTTTGAGGCTTGAACACCCTCGTCCCCAAAATGCCAATGTAAAAGTATCATGAGAACGATGGAGTGGTCACACCTCGGGCGGAACTCCGACTCCCCCGGTTGAGGCGTAGCGGACAGATGTTTGGCCAGCCTTGACGTGCAAGGCAACGCTGACAGCGACGCGCAATTTGACAAGGCTCAAGGCTAATGCAAGTGGAGGTGGACAGCAATCTTGGTCCAACAGATCTGCAACTTTGTCTCTGACCAGCGGTCCTGCACTGCTCTTGCGTCACGCCACGCCCTGTCGTGAGCTGAATGATGACCCTGCCATCAGGAAAAACCGGGCTGAATTGCCATGATCCTGATCCGGGTCGGCTGTCCTAATCTTCATGCCCACCTTGACGACCCAGGCTGCTCCAGCTACTTCCGTCTTGCAGGCGCTTCTGTAGGTGCAGTTGCAAGTGACACCAAAGTTTTTGGCACAACCTTACCTAATCACGCCACTTGTACGACGGACTGCCATCTAAGGGCATCCCTGCGGATGGACAACAAGCCAGATTCTTGTGCGTGGCACTGCCCGGCGCTGGCCGAAGGGCGCCTGAATAAATACTTCGTGGACTCAAACATGCCGCATGGTTGGCTCCTGTTTCTCTTGCAGCCAACTCTTCAACAAACTCCTGCCATGTGAGAAGCTGCTGCGTTCCAATGCAAAACCGCATTTCTGCCCCGACGCCGCCTAAGTTGGCTTGCGTGTTGTAGACGAGCTCGCTCAGCAAAGCCTGGAACTTGCTCAATGGTCCCGTGAACCATTTGTTGCCGTAGTTAGCAGAAGCAGAGGCACGCCACTGGCTTTGGAGCAATGCACCCAAGCACCAGGATATACGGTGACCTTGGCAAGTCAACCCAATCTCCATTTTCCCTTCAATTTGCAGGCCTCCAAGTGAATGCCGGTAACTTCATCTTCACCCCCAGGAAATCAGATGTAAAGATCCGACGGGGGTGACCAGTTGTTGACTCTTCACTGTGTGCAAAAATCAATTTGCTTTCGGCTCCAGAGGTCAGAAACAAAGCTCCTGCTGCATTTGCTCGAAGCGTGTAAGAAGGCCCCTCTCAAAAAGGCGCTTGAAATTTCACGCCGTACTTGTAGGGTTCAGGGCTTGGACGTTGAAGGGCTTCAGGGGGTCTTGCACGGGGGCGGGGGGGGTGGGGGAGGAATGCAGGATTTCAGGAAAAGCATGAAAATGAGCAGTTTTGTAGTCTTGGGAGAGTCCAGTGTTTGGGGTTGTTTTCCGGGCTTAGGATGGCCCACGTCGCTGCATGCGGTTCCTCACTGACCTTGAGACTCTGGCTGGAAGTTTAGCAGGGTTCGGGAGAGGACATGTAGCCAGAAGTAAAAAATCAATCCAGTCAGGCTGCTGGACCCGAAAGCCTAAAACCGCGAGTTAGAGGAAGCTTCAGGGTTTAGGGTTTACGGTTTATGATGTGAGATTCCGTACCATCTATATGTATACATATATATATATATGTACATACATATACAGCCTAGTTACTCTAGTTTATAAGCAGGGATGTATGTACCGTCACTAGGACCTACGACGCAGCTTATCAGTAGCCGTGAACCTTTTTGCAACATTGACAGATGAACCCGCCTAAATGCTTTAAGACCCTAAACTTGAACGCTGAATCCTGAATACCAAGAAACCCTAAACCCTAGACCCCACTCTCCGATCCCTCAGGCCCCCAGACCAGACCCTATAAGACCCTAAATCCCCCAAAAATGCCCTAAACCCTAAACCTCTATGTGAACCTTCTAACAGGAACCTCAACGGTCCCACACCCAACAGACCAAGAACTGATGAGTCAAAAGCAAAAGCCCTCAACAACGCTAGTGGGGTTTGGGGTTTGGGCTTCATCCCTAAAATGGGCCCAATCCGGTAACTAAAAACCCTAACACCCTAACACCCTAACACCCTAACACCCTAACACCCTAACACCCTAACACCCTAACACCCTAACACCCTAACACCCTAAACCCTAAACCCTAAACCCTAAACCCTGTCGCAGCCGGTGCCTGCCGTGAGTTCTCATCCTCGGCCGGCTGGCTCCCGCCTTGCGCGCAGTCAGAGACAGACCCAGGCGACGCCAAAGCAATTCAGGGTTCGGGGTTTAGGGTTTAGGGTTTAGGGTTCAGGGTAAAGGGTTTATGCGAGCGGTCCCAAGGACAATCCAGAAGCAAAAAATGAGGGTTTAGGGGTTTAGGGGCTGAAGGGTTCAGGGGCCGGGAGTGAAGGAGACTGCACCCCAAGCCCTACCTAGAACAACCCTAAACCCTTAAACTCTAAGCCCTTGACCTTGTATCAAAGGCACATGGCCAGGGTTTCCAAATGGTGGTCTTTCTTCCGGGCCCTACATATGGAAAGATTGCGCTGACGCGGCGCAGGTTGGGAGGGGGCAATGTGACGCAAGACAGGTCTTTGGGTGTCGACAGACCAGGTGCTCCCGAAATCCCATCTAAACGGCAAAGTTCGGAGGGCGCTGCTTTTGGACCTCGCCGGCCGCATGGCGGAAGAAGTGACGCCTCGCAGTATGTGGAGTAGCTGTGGTGGCACCGGACGCGCGTGGCTGGGCGTAGCCTCAATCCAGCACAGCAAGTTCGGCCGCACCTGACGCAGCGCCATTGCCTATACTGAACTTGGAACCCTAGCAAAAATTAGAATTTTAGCTGTTTCTTAGGAATTAAGGTCCCCCAAAATTAGAACTTTTTTCCAAGTACCCCGAAGTTGCCTCCAACAGCAAGAGTGTGGAGGGCCACAGCGAAGTCGGTTGCCGAACCTCCGCGCAGGCGCCAAGCGTGCTTGACAACGTCAGCACGTCGGGCTTCAGATCGCGCTCACGCGCCGTGGCCAGCAGCGCAAGGGCTGCCCTCCAGAGCGACTTGATTTTGCAAGCTTCGATTGCCACCTAGGTTGGCCCGTTGAACCCTCTGAAAAAAGATCCTGAACATGATCCTCTTGAACCCAGTAAAGGAGCTGCAAAGTAGCATCCTTAAATATGATCCTCTTAAACCCAATAAGGGGAGCTTTTGAGAAAAAAAAAAAACTACCCTTAAATATGACCCTCTGAAACCCAGTAACGGGGAAATACAATCCTAAAGGGCCTAGCCACATTGACGGACTCTACGGATGAAGGTGCTGGAGTTTTCAGCAAGTCCAGAACCACGGCCCATCGCCCGTGCTGCCCGCAGGTCGACATCGTGGCAGCTTGCATGACCTCAGGCACTCGTGGAACCTCCTGGGGTTTAGGGTTTGGGGTTTGGGGTTTAGGGATTGGGGTTTGGGGTTTAGGGTTTGGAGTTTGGGGTTTGGGGTTTGGGGTTTGGGGTTCAGGGTTCAGGGTTTGGGGTTTGGGGTTTGGGGTTTAGGGTTTAGAGTCTAGGGTTTAGGGTTAGGGAGGAAATATGCTTTCTCGGCCCCGCAACAAAACCACATGGCCCAACTACATTAAGGACTAAGATTCTTCCGTGTTTCTGATGACTAGCATTTGTTGCGTCTGACCACGAAGCTACACAAAGGATAATTCCCTAAACCTTATAAACCCTAAACCCTAAACCCTGCGGCTGAAGTGGCGCTATCCACGCAACCAGTGATCGCGAGCCGCCACAGGGCTCCTGGGCTGGGGACTTAACTTGAGCTACCAAACTTAATGTAAGAAACAAACAAATTTAGGGCTTAGGGTTAAGAGTTTAGGATTTCGGGTTTAGAATGTGGTTTCCTGATGAAGATAACTTATGTTGCATTCCCTAAGCTTCAAACGGCTTGGGGCTTGGACCCTGAACTCAAAACCCCCCTACAACCCGAAACGCTAAACCCCTCAAACCCCAAGCTGCAAGCTAACCCTAAACCCTAAACCCCAAACCCCAAACCCTAAACCCTAAACCCTAACCCTAAACCCTAAACCCAAAACCCTAAACCCTAAACCCTTCTGTAACCCATGGCTCTTCGCCACGAGCTCACCTCCAGGGCCATCGCGGCCCCCTCGGCGGTTCTGTCGGATTCAAGCCGCGCCCTCCGGATCCCTCCTTGATGGCACAGCCCCCCTTTTGAAAGGGAGTTAGGGTTTAGGGCTTGGGGTTTGGGGTTTGGGGTTTGGGGTTTGGGGTTTGGGGTTTTGGGTTTATTGTTTGGGGTTTGGGGTTTGGGGTTTGGGGTTTGGGGTTTAGGGGTTTAGGGGTTAGGGTTGGGGTTTAAGGTTTAGGTTTATCGTGTTTAGGGTTTAGGGGAATGGAGGTCTGGGGTTTGGAGTGTGGAGTTTGGGATCTGGGTCTTGAGGCTTAGGGTTTGCGGCCTAGGGCTCCTACTGCATGTCATCGAAACCAAACCCCCCTCCCCCTCCGCCCACCAAGACATGAAGGAACGCAAAAAACTAAACCCTAATAACGGAGAACGAGGGTACCAAGGGTTTAGGGTTCAGGATTGGGAGTCTCCTATTAAACGCGATAAACTATCAACCTCAAGAAGTGATAATACTCGGTAAGCCAACCCTAAACCCTAAACCCTAAACCCTAAACCCTAAACCCAAGTCTCTGAGGAGGTCCACAGCTTGCCGCCTCTGGCGCCCACGCTCGCAGGCTCCCGCAGCGGCGGTGTAGGTGATGGCCGTCGCTGAGGGCCGGCCACCGTGGCTCCTAGGATGGAACTTCTCAGCTAGGGCTTAGGGTTTAGGGTTTAGGGTTTAGGGTTTAGGGTTTGGGGTTTGGGGTTTGGGGTTTGGGGTTTGGGGTTTGGGGTTTGGGGTATAGGGTTTAGGGTTTAGGGTTTAGGGTTTAGGGTTTAGGGCCGTTTAGGTTTTAGGGTTTAGGGTTCAGGGTTTAGGGTATAGGGTGTTTAGGGGCTGAGGGTTTCGGGTTGAGGGTTTATCCCAATACTGAAAAAGAAAAGATGTCCCAAGACTGCCTAGGCTCAGGCGGCACACCATTGCGACAGCAGCCTGCCAGCACGCAGCCTCGCCACAGCCGCCGATTGCAGCGTTGACAGCCGAGGCGCCGATCGCAACCGCGCTGGCTGACGCACAATCCTTGACTGGAGTAGGTTTGTGGGCCCGATAAAGATTAGCTGCTTATGGCCTTCTAAGGATTATACCAGTACAAGGGATCATAAGGGTAATAAAAACACAATGGCTATGTTGAAACCTACGCCTGCGGGGAAGATTGCTGGGCCTTGCACTATATTGCACACGTTGATTTTTCTCTAGGTTGTACAGAGTTCTATGTCCCCAAGCTCTACACCCTACCTAACCCCGCAAACTACGTGCAAAATCACGCAGACATGCAGACATGAGAAATGATTTCAAAACCCACCCCAAGTATCGAGAGCTCCCAAGGACTCCTTCCAGGGAAGGATGCTGCAGGCAATCGCCAAGAGGACGGGGCTGTTTCTGAGCCCGATGCCACGGAGGTCCCTCCTCAACTCTCTAAGTATGCTTCGGTTTGATTCGCTATGTAGAACCCCCTTGCAAATGGAGCATCATCTATTCACCTTGAAGGAGATATATTTCCCAAAAAAAAAAAACAAAAACACACAGAGGTCTAGCTTCGTCCACTGTAGGGCTCGCGCCCAGCTCGTGCCTGCTTCTGCCGACAGCAGCGCCCCGAAGAGGACGTCGTTGACCCGAAGCTCCTGGTGCCGGGCCGCCTCAAAGGAACCCACGGCCCTCCGCCATCGAAGGCCGAGCTGTGCCTAGGATGGCCCATAAACCCTCTGAAAAAAAATATTCCTGAGCATGATCCTCGTAAAGACCCCATAACTTACTGTATATGCGGCCCTAGTTCCCTCATTCCCTGCAAACCAACACAAAGATAAGGGAAAACCGAAAATGTCCCAAGAGCCTCCCTAGGTGCAGCTACGGTGGCGGCGCACAGCGCCACCACGTTGCACTGCAAGGCGTGCTGCCGGGTCTCCCGCATCAGGTCCCACGCCGAAGCCCATCGGCTGGCCCTGCTCACACAGGTCATGAGAGAACTCCTGAGGATTATACCTTGGTAGCCCAGTAACCATTTTCATACTAAGGGCACCTTTTTGGGGTTGGCTATTTTATGAGGGAACCCATAACCAAAAAAAGGGGGTAAAGGGTGCCACTGGGCTACCAAGATACTCCTTGAGAGGCTGCTTCCTTTGATGCTCTCCTTAGTTGCTGAGTTCATAGGCCCCTAAAAAGTGTACACTTTCGGTTCTATAGGGGATTAGAGTATCCCAAAAAGTGTAATGTGTACTCACTTAGCTACTAAGTCTCCAGAAGTGCCAGGGTGTCTCGCCACGCATCTGCGGCGACCTCCGGGCCTTGCGCACAGGCGACCGCGGCAGAACAGCTCGTCACATCGGGCTGCAGACTTGCCAGCGACATGCGCAGCAGGAGGGAGCGTGCTCGAGACCAGCCCATGGCCTGCCCACTACATAAACTTCTGGGGCCCTTGTGAAGATGACATTTGTTTCAAGATCCCCTTAAAAATAGATCCGACTATTCCCAAAGTTAAAGTAAACATACTTTCTTTCCTACTAACCAGTTAAGTATATGCCCAAGTCAAAGTAAACATACTTTCTTTTCCTACTAACCGAGTATATGCTATTTTCAAGAAAAGGGTCCTGAGTGAGGCTCGAAATGGAGGTGTTGTACGCCACGACGCCCGCAACCTGACGTCTGCAGAGCGCATCGAGAGTCGTCAGCGAGTGGCTCCATAACTTTGCCTGGGCTCTTGCTAGTTAGGGGTTCAGGGTTCAGGGTTCTGGGTTCAGGGTTCAGGGTTCAGGGTTTAGGGTTTAGGGTGTAGGGTTTAGGGTTTAGGGTTGAAGGATCTCAGATGAAGCTACCAAAAGGGGGGGTACTGTATTTACTTGAATGGTTCTTGTCCGGGATTTCAGGTGGCTAAGTTACCGAAACATGTGTACCACAGGCTGATGTTTGCTTGTCTGGCCTCCTGCCAAAAAAGGGTTTAGGGTTTAGGGTTTAGGGTTACTTACCATGCTAAATACTTTGACCATATTGGGGCAATGTATCTGAGGGCTATCTTAGGGTCCCCAATCTTCGTAAACCCCCAATTGGAGTTCCTGAGCAAGAGCCCTGAACCCTAAACCCTAAACCCTAAACCCTAAACTCTCTCTTTGAGTTCCTGAACAAGAAAGAGCCCAGGTGCTTTGGAGACTGAGCCGGCCAGTGTGTTCCACGAGTAGGCGTCTGGAGCTCGCCTGGACTGGTGAGGTTGCGGCCCCCCTCTCCAAAAAGCTACTCCTACCTAAGATCCTGGGTTTAGGGTTTAGGGTTTAGGGTTTAGGGTTTAGGGCTTAGGGCTTAGGGTCTAAAATCCTCGAAATAAAGGAGAAAACAGACAAGGTCCTCTGATAATCTTACACGAATGTGAACAACAAAGGACAATACAGAAAAAAATCCCGAAGGGCCCCGCCAAGTCTCTCTGTGGCAATCATGGACAACGCCCTCTGCCAGCGGCCACGGCCTGAGGCGGCGTCCAAGGCGATGTTGAAAACGATCAAGTCCTTGGTAGCCCCGTAGCAGTATGGGCATTTCCCATAAAAGGGGTACCCCTTTGATACCCCAAACAGCATAGAATCCCCCCAGAAATGGGTACCCCTAATGTTCGGAAACCCGCATATCATGATAAGGATACCCCTTTTTCGGTTGGTTACCGCCGAAGGGAACCTTGAACAAAAAAAGGGGACAGGGTACCACCGGGCTACCAAGAGTCCACCGAACCCAGTCTGGCTTCTTTAGCATCCTGGAGCAACTGCAGGGCGGGTCTCCAGCGGCCTTGCTTGCGGAATGAGCTGAGGGCTTCTCTCACAGAGATGCCGGAACCATCCTCCCAACCCAGCTGTCTTGGCATTCACGGCGCACGCATCCCCCCGCCGGCCCGCAGCGCAGCTGCTTCGGGCAGGGGCCGTACATCTCCAGGAGGGCGGCTGCCTGCGCTCTCCCAAGGCAGCCGTGGATCAAGCCGTCTCCTTCACGTCAGCTCCGCGTCCCCATACGCTCTCTCAGGACCGGGTTGCCCAGAATACAAAGATAGAAATCGGCCCTACTTTGTTTCAAGGGGTTTGCAAGGGATCTGATACCCCAAAAAGCGGAATAAGGGCACTGCTGGGAATCCTAGAAGAGCATTCACCAATTGCTCAGGACAAAGCATCGTGGCGATTCAAGGACAGACGTGGCAGCTTGATCCTGACTATTACAATCAGGGCACCCTTGTTTGGGGTGCCTACTTTAAAAGTCAACCTTGAACCAAAAAAAATGTCATATCATAAGGGGACCTAATTTTGGGTTGGTTACTTTAAAAGGGAACCTTGAACCAAAAAAAGGGAGAAAAGGGTACCACAAGGCTACCACAAGGCTACCAAGTCCTCACTGCCGCGTTATCGATTGCGCGCGTGGGGGCTTGTCTGGCGACAGGGAGCCTCGACTGCCTTCCTGAACCCGAAACCCTAAACCCTAAACCCTAAACCCTAAACCCTAAACCCTAAACCCTAAACCCTAAACCCTAAACCCTAAACCTAAACCCGAAACCAAGGAAGCAGAGAACGCTGACCTTGGCCAGCATCTGTTGCAACCGCGTTAAGCCATGACGTGGAGGGCACGAAAGTTGTGGAGCCCTTGCGTACAGTTGTTAGTCCAGGGTGCAGGGTTTTATCCAACATTTCTGAGTCCTACCGAGAAAGCATGCAGTATGTCAGGATGTGCTTAAACGAAAGATGACCAAGATGACCATGACCGTCCCGATTCCGAAACCTATAAGCCCTCATTGGCCAGCCACGGATCTCACCGACCTAAATGCCTAAACCCTGCAGCCCTAAAGCCTACATCTCCTAAATAATTAGTCGAGCAATACACAAAATAATGCTGGTATACTCAAACAACCTGACACAAACACCTGATACCAAGTACCCTCATCACCCCAAACGCATACTCATAATCTACTCTTAGTTATACTCATATGATACTCCAAAGAACCCTTGTGACAGATTAACCTTAAGGGAACATCCCAACCCTAAACCCTAAACCCTAAACCCGAACCCTAAACCCTAAACCCTAAACCCTAAACCCTCTACCCGAAGCAACCTCTTGGTGCCATGAGTGGCCTTGCCTTGGCGACGGGACCCAGCGGCCGGCTTTCCGTGTCTCCACATCCGGCGCACTTCCTGCGCCTGCGCCTGCGGGCTCGTGCAGTAGGGTTTAGGGTTTAGGGTTTAGGGTTTAGGGTTTCGGGTTTCGGGTTTCGGGTGTAGGGTTCCGGGTTTTAGGGTTTAGGGTTCAGGGTTTAGGGATTCAGATTTAGCCTTCAATAGGCCAAAAAGCGCATGGGCTCGGGGCAGTCTAGGGTTTAGGATTTCGCGCAAGGTTTAATCCTTGGGCTAGGGGTTTAGGGGTTTAGGGGTTTAGGGGTTTAGGGGTTTAGGGGTTTAGGGGTTTAGGGGTTTAGGGGTTTAGGGGTTTAGGGGTTTAGGGGTTTAGGGGTTTAGGGGTTTAGGGGTTTAGGGGTTTAGGGGTTTAGGGGTTTAGGGGGTTTTCTGGAGCGTTTGGGGTTTTGGGGATTACAAGGCTTCTGACTTTCTTTGGGCCGAGGGTGCAAGGAATGAAGGGTGGCACGCGGACGTGTTAAAGGCCCGTTTAAGCCTCAAACCCTGAAAAACCCTAAACCAGCCTACACACCCCTCAACCCCTCTATAGTACTTAGGGTTTATAGGGTTTAAAGGTTTTAAAGGGTTTGAAGGGTTTGAAGGGTTTAAAAGGTTTAAAGGGGTTAAAGGGTTTAAAGGGTTTAAAGGGTTTAAAGGGTTTTAAGGGTTTAAAGGGTTTAAAGGGTTTGTGGGGTTGAGGTTTGAGGGTTTATAGGGTTTATAGGGTTTAAAGGGTTTTAAGGGTTTAAAGGGTTTGAAGGGTTTAAAGGGTTTAAAGGGTTTAAAGGGTTTAAAGGGTTTAAAGGGTTTAAAGGGTTTAAAGGGTTTAAAGGGTTTGTGGGGTTGAGGTTTGAGGGTTTATAGGGGTTATAGGGTTTATAGCGTTTATAGGGTTTATAGGGTTTAAACAGTCTTCGGTAGGGTTTCGGGCAATGACTCCTGTTAGTTTGCCTCTTGGCTTTAGATTTTGTTTGTTGTCAGGGATGTGGCGAAAGCTCGAGTATTTTACACATTTCTACCTGTTAAGGCGTGTTTTTCATGGAGCCTAGTTCGTGGGCCCCTCAAAACTTGGCCTATGACTAGGTTTTTACCTAGGTTTTGACCACATGTAATGAGGGCCGGCAACCCAAAAAGTTACTTGAGGCTTGGTTTGTTGATGTTTTCACTGAACCGCCTTAACCTTCAAGTTTAAAACCCCAAAACCCTTGTCAAACATCCTTGTGCGTCATGTTGTAGAAAGAAGCCAAAACGCTGCAAATAGCAGCATTTTCGCCATGGTTAGATGAGCATGATCGAAACCAAGCCCCCGCTCCCCCCCACCCCACCCCCAAGACAAAGGGCGGAAGCGAGCGTTTTAGCAGGAGTCGCTCGTGGCGCTCCTATTAAAACACAAGGCCTCGGAGCCCTAGACCCCTTACCATCCAGTCTAAAGTCGCCATCCTTCCTTCCCAGCCCCTGTCTCAGCGCCTTAAACCGACTTAACCCCGTAAAACCCCAAACCCCTAAACCCTAAACCCCATACCCGAAAACCGCCCGGCAACACCTCCGCTGCGACTTCGCTCGCGAGGTCGTTGGCTCTCTCAAGCGCCTCGAAGGGGTCTTTCGGTCTCAGGGGCTTCGGGCTTTACAGGTTTCGGGTTCAGGGTTTGAGGTTTAGGGGTTTAGCGGTTTAGGGGTTTAGTGTTTATGGTGTTTTGGCTGTAAGTCGCAAAGGTGTAAGTTTAGGGTTTAGGGTATGTAGGCTTTATGTATTGTTAGGGTTTGTATGGGAATCAGGGGTTTAGGGGTTTCGGCCCTCCGGGTCCAGGGTAGTTCGCAGATTGTTGGGGTGCGCGGGGGTTTGGGGGATGTAGTGTTTAGGGTTTGGGTTCAGGGGTTCGGGGGCTTTCGGGTCAGGGTTTGAGGGCCTGAGGAGTTTGGGATTTTGGCATGGGACACCTAAACTCTTGAAATCCCCTGCCCAGCCCAAAACCCACCCTGAAACCTCAACCCTGAACCCGATCTCACCGGCCTCCAAGGTATCACCAGGCATCTGCTGCCAATCGGATTCCTCAGTCTCCAAAGTTTTTGGGGTTTAGGGCTTAGGGCTTAGGGTTCAGGGTTTGGTGTGTAGGGCTTACCACTGGGGACCTTATTGGGCCTTTTTTGGCTTGACACTTGACGCTGCTACACTGCGGGAAACTTTGGGAGATAAAAGGGCTTAGGGTTTGTAAGGGCTTGGGGCTAGGACTTGGGGATTGCAGGGCTACAGGGCTCTAGGGGCTGTAGAGTTTTGGGGTTTATAGGGTGTACAGGGTGACCCTAACCCCTAAACCCTAAACCCTAAACCCCAAACCCAGGGTGTTCAGGGCTTTGGGGAGTAGCCCATTGTCGCCGGAGGCTCATCTTCGTCGACCGTCGTCTTGCGGAGCCTGGGCCAGGAAGGGGTTAGTTAGGGTTTGGGGAGTGTTTTTAGTTTAGGGTTTAGGGTTTAGGGTTTTTAGTTTAGGGTTTAGGGTTTAGGTCTTAGGGTCTCGGGTTTAGGGCTTAGGGTTAGGGGCTTGGGGCTTGGGGCTTGGGGCTTGGGGCTTGGGGCTTAGGGCTTAGGGCTTAGGGCTTAGGGCTTAGGGCTTAGGGCTTAGGGCTTAGGGCTTAGGGTTTAGGGTTTAGGGTTGAGGGTTTAGGGTTTAGGGTTTAGGGTTTAGGGTTTAGGGCTACCGCAAAGAAGGGGAGGTCCGATTTGCCAGCTGAACCCTATGATCCTGAACCCTAAACCATTCGAAGCCCAAAGCCCTCAGCCTGAAGTCCTAAGTCCTAAGTCCTAAGGCCTAAGTCCTAAGTCCTAAACCCTGAACCCTGAACCCTGAACCCTAAACCATACACACCCCTAAACCCTCAACCCTAAACCCCAAACCCCAAACCCTAAACTCCCCTTTTTGGCGGGACCAAGAGGCCGCTGCAGCTTCCGCATGTCCGTCCTCTCGGTCTTGTGGACCTCCTCGTACATCTGACCTCGGAGAGCTGGGGTTTTCCGGTGCTGGGGTTTAGGGATTCCCCCTAAACCCCTAAACCCCTAAACCCCTAAAGCCCTAAACCCCTAAACCCCTAAAGCCCTAAACCCCTAAAGCCCTAAACACCTAAACCCCTAAACCCTAAACCCCTAAACCCCTAAACCCCTAAACCCTAAACCCGAGACCTAAAATTTACATCCTAAACCCCAAGGCCTAAAAGTCTCGCACATAGCAAAGGCGGCAACTGGAGGTCTTGGGCGCAGAATGGTGTTTCGGGCGGTGGCTGGCAGTTAGTTGGGCCACGGGGCTCCAGTTTTTTTGGCGGCTCAGGGCATTAAGCGCCGGGTTTCTAGGGTTTCGGGTGTAGGGCCTCTGGTTTGTAGGGTTTGGTGTGTTTTCTGGGCCCCCGGCCCATAGCCCGCGACAGCATCTGAATCCGCTTTTTCTGCGGGATTTGCACAGCCTCTCAGGCACACACTCCAAAAAAACCCTCGGCCCCAAGACACTGCAAAAGGTGTGTCGCAAGCGAGACCTGAGCCCAAAACCCTGAACCCTAAACCCGAAACCCGAAACCCTAAACCCTAAACCCTAAACCCTAAACCCTAAACCCTAAATCCCAAGCCCTAAAAAGGGTCTCAGGGAGTCGTTTGGGATGGTGCGCCCATGTTCCGAGCCACCTCATGATTTCCCCCACGACCTGGAACCCCAAAAACTCGAAATCC